CCATCAATCTAAATATGATGAATGCTAATTCTTTTCTAAAAAATGTTAATGCACATAACCACTATGGATTGTAATAAGAAAGAAAGAAAGCAACCTTTATTGATCCTCTTGGGGAAATTATTCTCTGCATTTCAACCCACACAGTGGGAGCAGTTAGAGGTTGGGTGTCTTGCCCAGGGACACTTTGACCCGGGACATGTAACAGCTGGAGCTCGAACCCTGCGCTTCCCAGCGCGCCCTCTCTACTCCGTTTGTAATGTTTGACAGACTTTTATATATAGATATGTTCTTTTGCTGGAATCACCCAGGACTTATTTTCTATTCTCCTCATCTTCTTCACACGTCGTCTCCTCTCATTTCTCTCGTCCCCCTCTGACTGTCCTCAGTGATTTCTCACCGCTCTGCCATCTTTTCCTTTTCCCCGACGCAAACTTCCCATTGGTCAGTTTGTCTCCCTCTTGCCTTACCTCAACTTTTCTTGGCTTTGCTGGTGCAGCGTAACATCCATACACGTCTTTGTCTCAAAGTCTGCCCTGTCTTTTTATTTTCAGGACCCTGTCCGTCTGTCTCTTTGGCTCCCGGTCTCTTTTAATCTCCTCCTCCTCTTTCTCTAAAAGGCATGTTTGACTTATAGCTCACGTAGGAGAGCTTGGGTAACATTTCCTGTTTTGTATTATCCTACATACTATATATTCTTGCAATGATTTTAAACTAATTGATAATGGAAATATGCACCAATTGTTAGTTAATAGTATAGTATATTATTGACATTTCAATACTAGTATTCCATTGATTTGTGAAGTCACAAGAACTAGAGCGGTAGGAGCATGGCAGTATAAAGAATGCTAAGGTATTCCAACACCAGCCAAATGGAAAGAAGTCAGTGTGCCATTCTGTGGACGATCGCTTACGGAGTAGTTGTGGGCTATGGCATTTCGATAATTACTGTGTTCATAATCACCACCATGTGGACCAACAGGGAGCCAGTAAATTACTTTGTCGTTACCACTCACATGTAGGAATCGATTACTTTCCTCACTGCATCGCATTTGCCTTTAAATCCCTAAATTGATTATTACACGCTGCGCTGTAGGAGTCTTGGCGTCCAAGGGTAATGAAAGAAGGGACTATGAATAAATTATACAGTATTTGTTTACTCTGAGGTGTTGTCAGAGGGTGATTACAACAGGTTTGAGCAAAGTGGAGAGTGCTATTTGTTTTACCTCCATAATGTTGCTTGATAAAATAGAGTGCTGTCAGATTTTGAATCAAACTTTTAGGCTGCATACTTGAAAGGATATCTAAGGATAAATTCAGTATGATAGCAAAATAGGTTTAAACGTTTACACATAATTAAACCTTTTTTGGTGGATTTAATAAAAATTTCTACAAAAATACCTGAATTGGTAAAACGTTATGCTTGCCCAAATTTTAAAGTCATTCTGGTCTAATGGAGAGGAGTATTTCAATAAAAAATAGCTAGAAATGTTGAGATAAAGGGCATTTATTGGCTCATCAGCTACTCTGTGAATTGTCTCTGTTTTACTAAACTCAAAAAACATTTGAAACTTTATAACAGAGCAAGCAAGAAGTCTCCAGTGGAAATGCAACTATGATGATTTTAGCTTCATGGTGGAATAACACCCAATAACAACTGATGACACAAGGCGCTCACTGGTGACCTCTATGTGTGGCCGTTTCATTCCGTAATTACCACATGCGGTGGCATAGTCATCTGTCATTTTAATGCTATGGTTTTTAATTTACCGTAATTTATTTTATTGTAACATGACTATATTTCCAGATTGCCCTGTTTAATTGGTCTTGAACGATGAGGAATGTGGACCTGTAATATCGAATGATTCAACTATATGGCATTTTTACCTCTGGCATATAAAGGTGTTACTTTTAACAACTAGTGTAATTCTTGCTTTTTGTCCAGGTGCCAAAATGCTCTCTATTTAAAGATGAATGCACAGGGAGAGACCTGTAACGTTGCAAACAACATTATCAAAGCAACCAATCTTTTTTTCTCATAAGAATCATTAAAGAGAAATTGATTATTGTCCTGGATGTACTTTCAGTTGTTGCATGATGAGATCAGAAAAACAAAAACAAATATTTACTGTGGTAGAAAATACTTTATCTATTTTCTTCTTCTATTCCAGTGCTAATACTAGTTTTATTGACTTATTTTCCAAAATCTCTCTTATAGAGCAGTTCCTTGCAGGGGATGAGAGACCTTCCTTTATGTCTTTTGTTTTTATTCAGAATAAACAGCAAGACCTTCATTGAACTAGTTTTCAGTACAAATGCATCCAAAGGAGCTATGAATGGTTTCAATGAATAACGACTTTGTGAATCGAGTACAGCTTCCCAGCTAGATCCTCCACTCCACCGGTGCTTCTACCAGCTGATTGCGGCTTAAATGTTTGGCTGCTCTTCATCCCTTATACCTCTTCGAGCACAGTGACCACTTCATTACCGCAAAGACGATGGTTAGGACATCTCCTTGGAGCTTTCCTTCACGGTTGCACATCTATTTACTTTGTTCTGAGTCATTCTGTGCCGATTCACGGTAAACAATGTCCATAACCTTAAACCTCCTCTTCCCTTCCGCTCCTTCGGCCTCTCTGACCAGCAGGTGGCAGCCTGACTACACTGAGCTGATGAAGGGAGCCGTCCATGGTGCTGAATGGAGGCTCTCAATCCATCCTTCAGATCTTTATATCTCCACCGTTATCTGTGTCAAACTTTCCGTCTACCATCAGTATCAGTCCCTGTATATGTATTTACCTGTTTGTCCCCCGTCCTGTTCTCGTTGCCCATCTGTCATGGAGCAGCAGCGAATGTATGTCTAACGACCCTCTTGTCTGCGTTGAGAAGACACGTCTTTTTAGGAGTGTATGCTGTTATAAAGAGTCCTACCAGTGGATGTAAAAAATGTTTTTTATAAATATATATAAAATGACTAAACTAGCCTTATGTACCGAGAGCTAGCAGCTTGATGGATGACTCACAGTAATGCTGTAAAATGGTTCAACCCACACACAGACACACACACACACACACACACACACTGAAACACAGACTCATACTAACACATGCAGCGCAACAAACCCGAGCACACACATAGCTACTGTATTACCCATGTGGCACACACACACACACACACACACACAGAGGCTGCGATACCAAAGTTGAGATGGTTAACAATCTTTAAAAGGAACAGGGAAAGGTGCCAAGTAGAGCAAAATCAGTGTGGATTACCTAGTAAGAGATTAGTAATAAATCTATTTTGAAATTTATATAAAGCAAAACAAAGCTGCATTAGCCTATAAATCCTGTAACATGTGGTCGAAAGAGCCATGAGGGATCTGAAGCAAAACGAGGATTAGCTCCAATTCGTTTTTTTCCTGCTGTAGTCTGACAGCTAGTGAAACATCCATTACAACAATGCTAAAATCTAATTCCCGGCAAGAGCTGTGCTCTACGTTGTTGTGAAATGATATGCAAAACACATATTAAGACTATGTTCAAGTTCCATTTAACGGGGTGTTTGCTTGATAGGCCCATGAACTGCCAAGATGGCACCAAATGGTAAAACCTCACCCGAAGCCTGAAACAATCTCCGAAACAAACCACAGGTCGTGTCGCAAAAGCCAGGTCAGTTTTTGGAGTCTCTATTTAAGGGCCCCACTCACGTCCTTCTGTTCCCTGATATGTGACAGTATCGGGTGACACTTTCTGTAAATACAGTAATGGGCCAAATTTGGAGTGACGTGTAATTTGCATTTGCCTCTAAACGCTGTTGGTCGTCTCGGTGGATCAGCGAGCTGAGTCTCCACGTCGTGTTTGTAGCGTTGTAATCTTGTTAGCGTGATCCTCTGCACATGCCACCAGGGACCGAGGGATCAATAACTGGCTCGTGGCTCCGTTTTGGGTGCATTCGCAAACACACACACATATATCCTCTCGCACACACTTTAAGAGATGAGGGAATCAGAGTGGTGTTCATATGGCACTCGGATTGATTGGCAGCAGGGCAGGTTTTTTTTGGTGTTTAACACCATGTCACCGACTCCAATCACAGTCTGGAAATATGCTTAAAGTTTATGTGTGTGTGTGTGTGTGTGTGTGCGACAGCCACACACACACACACACACACACACACACACACACACACACACACACACGCACACACACACACACACACACACACTCTCTCTTGCCTCCCTGAATCCGTTTCCCCTCATCTGTACTTCGCTTGCTATCTTCACTGTGATTTCTTGTCCCCTTTTCTCTTTTCCCTTCCTCTTTTTTTTGTCGTACTTATTCGTTCTTGGTTCCTTTATTTTTCTTCCTTCCATAGTTTCTTTAGTCTGTAGGTCTGTAATGAATCTCCTTCCATCCCTCTTTTGACCTTTCTCCCCTTTCTTTCTCCTGACATTGCTCTCTTTGCCCTCCTCCCCTCTCCTTTGCTCTCGCCCTCGCTCTGTCACTTGTTTCTTCCTTCCTGTCCTCTTTCCTTTACTCAGTCTTTTCCAACTCCCCTGAGCATCTTTTTTATTCCCTCTTTTATATCCATCTCCCCACTGTCTATTTTCATCCTTTTATTGAAATCCTGTTTTTTTCATCCTGTTTTTTCTCTCCATTTCATCCACTACGTCTCGCTCCACCCCTCCCTTGGTCTTACATTGATCTTTTCTCCTCCTTATTTCCCTTTTACGCCCCCCCCCCCCCTCCTTCTCCTCTAGTCCTTCTCCTTTTCCCCATCTGGTTTACCTTTCTTAAATCGGCCAGACCTTCCTCTCTCCCTCCTTCTTCCTCCCTGTCTCTCTCTTAGCCACACTTTTTTTTCAACTTCTCCTCCCCTTCTATCATCCACTTTTCCTCCTTCTCCTTTGCTTCCCCGACTAACACCCCCCCCCCCCCTCCCCCTCCCTCTCTCTCTCCCTCTCACTCAGTCGTCGCTCGCTCGCTGTGCTGTGCGGACCTACCAGCCAACTCTCTCCTCTCCTCCGCGGCATCTCTTCATCTTCTCCCCTCCTCTCCGGTCCTCCGGTCTCTGTTATGCGCGTCCACCCCGCAGGCGTGTGGCCCGTTCTAGAAGGAACCCCCCGCCACGGGTTTCCCGCCCAACAGCCACACAGGACAATGTGTGTGGGGGGGGTTGGGGAGGATTCCCCAGTGGTCTTTTTTTTTTTTTTAATAAAAAAAGAAAGGGAAAGGGGGGGGGGGGGTGGCGCCCCCCTTTCCCCCCCCCCCCCCCCCCCGCTTCCTTCAACCAAGCAGAGCCACCAAAGGTGGGGAGCGAGGCTTAAACATTAAGCCAGCTTGGATTTATTTAGCAGCAGAATGACGGATTTGGGAGCGCCGGACACGCTGCTGGCGGGGAGCAGGCTGAAGAACGCCGGCGGGTTGAGACGCGACCTCCCGCTTCTCCTCCTGCTGGGGCTCCTCTTCGGGGATTTCTCCTCGTCCAACGGTGAGTTTTGGAGGTTTTCCATGTGTGTGTGTGTGTGTGTGTGTGTGTGTGTGTGTGTGTGTGTGTGTGTGTGTGTGTGTGTGTGTGTGCGCGCGCGCCCGGGAGCTCGCATGCCTGCGTGAGTGAGTGAGTGCGCGCGCGCGCATGTGTTGGAAGGCAGCACGATAATCGCAGGTTGGTTCGTTTGCTTGTGAGCGCGCACGTGAAAGGTGGTCGATTACTTCCGCTTCGTTGCCGCGGACAACGACAGTGCGTGTGCGAGTGTGTGCGTGAGTGTGTGTGCGTGTGTGTGAGTGTGCATTCAAGGGAGAGAGAAACGGTGAGAGTTTAAGCGTGTAAACGTGCGTGTGTGTGTGTGTGTGCGCGCGCGCGTTTGTCTCTAGGGATGGCGTCCGTGTGTCCGTTTTTGCGCGCGTGTTCGGGATAGCGAGAGGTGGAGAGATGGACAGCTAGCCAACATGCACGGACAGTGGGTCGTGTGTGTGTGTGTGTGCGTGCGTGCGTGCGTGCGTGTGCGCACGCGGGCGAGAGAAAGAGAGCGCAGTGCCCAAACTTGGACACGACATTTCATCAGGAGAGCAGCATGCTCATTTTTTTGGGGCCTCCACTTTGAGGATATTGTTTCCAAAACAAATGAAACCAACTTTAAGAAAGAAGAAACCCCCGCATCACGTAACCCAGACCCCCTGCAGACATCAGGGGGATCCCGTCTGACACACAACCCGTTTACATCGTGTTTGCTATGAGGCAACATCTTGGCAACTTGTGTTACTGTCTACAGTTGAGCAGACGCAGACAGGGGGAGATGGCGGTCCGTTCCTCCTGGGGGGCATCTGGAGAGGAAATCCCATGCCTGCTGTATAACATGATTGTGTGGAGTCACCACACACAGAGGAGCGGCTGTCTCCGTTGCTGCACAGGGTCTGATGGTATGACGGGGATGTGATGGCAGCTCTCCCCCCCGTCGGTGGGGATTTAGTCACCGAGGACGTCTTCTAACGTCAAACACGGACAGAGAAGAGAGCGTTAACATTCTCATCGTTGAGCGGTCACTGTTACTGTTTATCAATAGCTTCTCTGTGTGCCCTTTTCCTCCCTCTCTTTCTCGATGCTCTCAATCCCTCCCTCTCTCTCACACACACACACACACACACACACACACATGCACTCTTCTGTCCGCTTTTCCCACTTTGCGATACACAACAACAGTGTTCAATTTCCTGATAATTGTACGTGCAGCGATATTGGGTTCCATTCGTTTAGACTGTCAGCCTGGAATCAAAGTCATTGGAGTAGAAGAGTCATTGTAGGAGAATTGGGCGCGTTGATGAATATGATGATGGCTTCTTCAAGCTGTTTGTGAGCGACTGCTTCTTGTTTTCACCTGTGTGTCATCTATCAGCCCAATCTATGTGCTCACGTGTTCGTGACTGTGTTTCCTACGTTGTTTTTCAGCTTTGCAATCTGCATTTTTTTGGCCCACTGAGATATGCATATGCATACCTGCAGCTATTTTACTTTTTGAGGAGGAATGACCAATTAAGAAAGTTAAAGGGAAGACTGACATCTGGAAAGACAGACGGAGTTTGGCAATAATGTATTGCGTCAAACCTCAAACCCCATGTTGTTTTCAGCTTTTTAAATCTGATGTCGCATTTAAAATATCAATTATTGATTGACTGAAAATGTCACTTAAAAATATCATAAAATGTATGTTTAACTGAAGGACAGAATGAACTACCCAGGCAGCACTGAACTTTGTGACAAGTTGTGACAGTCACAGCTCTTTTTTGTTTCTGAGTTGAGGAGTGTTTTATTTTCTGTTCTTGTTTTGACAATTATATTAGAGGTTCTTTATATAATCACCACATTTAATATCTAGAATTAACATGTGGTAGTAATTTCATCATGGTAAAAACGCATACCACTACATAATGAAATAGAAAGTAAACTTTCTAATAACCAAATGAAAACCCCCCAAAAGATTTTGGATTGAGCAATATTAACTCATTCATACAAACAGATAAAATAAAAATGCATACTGTAACATCGTTTTGCTTATTGAATGCCAATGTAACAACATTGCCTCCCTCCTGTACAATCCTTACATATATTTAGCTGCCAAACTGCTGAACAGAAATAATATATATTCAACTCATTCATCAACAGGTTGTTTCAGCCAAGTCACGTCCACATGTGGAACTGTGTTGATAATTCCATTAATCCCAGCTAGTGCTTTTATTGTATAATTGCTATATTGTTAATTACACTCTACAGGTGACTGTATGAAAACATTTCACACACTCATTCACGTGCACACACACACACACACACACACACACACACACACACACACACACACACACACACACACACACACACACACACACACACACACACACGCATACATTTTAGAACAACATGTCTGATCATTTCATTTTAGACCCCCACTGAGACCGGGAAGCCCTTATTTAATTATTCACACATTGCCCCTCGTTCACAGACACAAACGCACTCACAGACATTTAGGACATTTCAATGACTTATGGTCCTTCTCTTTTTGATTAAATTATTAAATGATAAAATGTCTGTTTTCTAAGTTTTTAATGTTTTGTCCTTACGTAGACACTAAAACTTGAACACACACACACACACACGCACACGCATGCACGTACATGCACACGGTGACAATTAGCTGACTTTGAATCAATGCCAGACAACAAGATATTGGGGCTAGCGGTCTGTCCCTCTGCCTGGCATACTAATGCCCCACACATGGGAAATTGACAAACTCACTCACGCTCTCACATACACACGCTTACACACACACACACACACACACACACACACACACACACACACATACACACACACACACACACACACACACACACACACACACACACACACACACACACCCACACGCTTACACTTACACACACACACACACACACACACACACACACACACACACACACACACACACACACACACACAGAAACACATACAACCACTGTTCCTGTGGTGGAGAAGAAGGCTAATTAAACCGCGTTATCTATCCAATTCAAATCCACTGTAGGTACACACTGAAGGGTTTTATCGGAGGGTGAATCTCCAGAAGCAAAATCCGACGTGAAAAATATTAATAATATGTGATAATAATAATGATGATGATATCCTCCCAAAATAAAATCTTCTATTATCATGACAGGAGTCCAGCACTAGGGCCACATTGTAACACTTAAGCTATAGTTCTGTGTATATCTGCTTATAGCTACAGTTTTTTGAATGCTTGTATATTGTTTTCAAATTCTAAATAGGATAACTTGAAATAAAATCAAACTGAATTTGTTGAATGGTTTGCTTACGTGACATTAAACATAACTTTTCTATCTAAAAGAAAACAGAGGAGTTAAAATACTTACCGCATATATTATGATCAATAGTTATAATGCTCACAAGGTGCTGCGTATATGCAGAATATGCCTCTTTGTGTGCGTCTCTGCGCTTGTGCCGGCGTGTTGAGCTTCACTTGAAATTCATAAAGCAGTGTGTGGTGACGTGGGTCGGCATGCACATTTGTGTGGGATTCCCTTTGAATGTGTGTTGGAATAATGTTCTCCTCCCTACGTATTAGAAGCATGGAAGCACTTATAACTTTCACCTCTGCGTGGGAGAGACAGACTAAAAGGCACACGCACAGACAGAGAGACATTTTGGTCAGTGTTTTCCGGTACTTGTATAATAATTGAATCCCCTCAGTCACACCGGAATTTACACACAGTTCAAACAATCTGAGCTTGAGTAAAGTGCATGAAACCCTGTGTGTGTGTGTGTGTGTACACGCGTGTGCGTCAGAAAGAGTGTGCCATCCTACCGAGTACCAATGAGGGTCCTTCTCGTTGTCCAGCGACACTACGGAAATACACACACACACACACACACACACACACACACACACACACACACACACACACACACACACACACACACACACACACACACTTCATTGCAGTTAACCACTGCAGAGATCATTTTAATGGACTCTAGGTGAAGCAAAACCCCTACTGTGTCACCAAGTCCCGTCTACTGTCGGAGAAAACGCTACATGTCAAGTGTGCATGGGTCATTATGCTCATGAAGCTGGAGAGAAAAAGTGTGTTTTATGTGTGGCTTGAAAATGAGCCAGTAATCAATCTTTATAGTGTTCAAATGACAGAACTTTTAAAAGAGCCGTGGCCTACATACATTACGCTAATGCCGGAGAGAGAGAGAGAGAGAGAGAGAGAGAGAGAGAGAGAGAGAGAGAGAGAGAGAGAGAGAGAGAGAGAGAGCAGAGACTTTGTGGGAAGACAGAGAGAGAGATTGAGATCAGAGCAAGTGTGTTAAAGAGACATTGGGGCAGGGAGAAAAGAGAGGCACTGCTATGCACGGGGAGACAAAGTGAAACAGAAAATGAAAATGTATTCCCCAGCAGATGCGATTAATCAGGAATGACTTTTCCATCTTGTGCAGCTTGGCTAGTAATGTCTGGCATTAAGTAATGACATCATAACCCTGTCTGCCCTGAATTTATACCTCAGATATTGAGGGAAATCCACCGAGCTGACCCAAAGGCACGCGCACACAGGGCTTTTAAATCCGTTGATATTAATGACTGGACTCAAATATTTCATGTTTGCAGTAAATACTGCGTCACAATGAAGAATTGTTCATTTATCTGTCATTTCAAATCAGAGCACACAGCATGAAAAAGAGGAAATAAAACCTCTTGCGTACATCAAATGAAATAGCACGACAGAGCTTGAAATTATGAACATCATAAAAGTGCTGTTGCATAGCGGGTCCAATTGTGTTTTACCAGCCATTAGCATGCCTGAGTAAATGCCATGTCTCAAGCGTTTGTCAGGCTCTTTGTCTGAACCACCATATTAATGTTTTTTTTCCTGAAATCTTTAAACCAAACTAAAAGAGACCATTCTATTCAAAGTTTTGACTGC